TGCCCCAGAGAGCCCAGGCCCTGCCTACTCACATGTTCTGCTCCATCTGAGAAAGCACTCACCCTGCATATGAGAAGCAGAGTGAAATCCTCGGGTAATCGGTAAACCGGATAGGTGGGTGGATGTTCCATCGTTTATTGATTGTTCTTTCACTTGATTCTTTTACTTCTGAATATAAGAAAAATAGAACCAATATTCTGCTGCACCAAGCAAATAGTAGGAGCCACCCAGTACATGACTTGTGGGAAGAACTGGTAACAGTGACCAAGAAAGAAGGGGCAGAACATCAATTGTTTTGGTTTTCTTTTCACAGAGTTTTGAGTAAGCAACCATAGTTTGGTGAGTTTCTTGGATGTAAGAAGAGAAAGTATGTAATGAAACTGCCTAGATAAGGCAGACCAGGGAGGCTGTGACCACACATAAGAAATTAACTTTAGTGTCATTAAAATAAAGACTAAATGAACAAAAATTAGTAAATTAAGCAGTCACTAATGTGGACCATTATTTGTATTATTTGTGGTCTCTCTGGAAAAAAGCCCAATAAGACCAGGTGTAACAGAACTTCTTTGGGTACATTTATTGAGAGTACTTGAAAATTATTTTAATTAGAAATGGTTTTCCTGGAAACCACCCAAAATGTAGAAAAAGCGCTTACATGTCAAACACCAAGAATAAGCCTTGATGGAAAACTTTCCAGGAAGCTTTCTTTCTACCAACTGTGAGAGCGAACAACACTTAATATTTTCTGGAAGTCTCCTAACATTTACATTATTAGCATACCATGTTTTCCTTAAAAAGGGACAAGCAACTGATATATACTCATGTGTGGACACAGACTCTTTTGATTATCTATAACCATGAGAAATAGAAACAAATTGGCAATTGACCTAATTGGGCTATTGTAATCCAATAATACCAAGAATTGTACAGGACTTAACTCCAACAGCAGGCTTCTAGGGACTTGTTTGCCTCTGCTACTAGATAAGTTCATTGAAGGCAGGAACATATCTTTATATCCCAACTGCTTATCACAGTGCATGTGGCATGTGCTAAAATTTTTTGAGTATATGCACAATTGAGCAAATAAATGAAATGAAATTCTTCTTCCACTCAACAGTTCGCTGTTCCAACATTCCACTTGAGGGCTTATATTTTGTGGTTCTCACCACCACCAATCTTTGAGTAGAAATGTCATTTTCAGGTAAAATGGCTCAAATAATAGGTGACCAAAGAGAACCCTTTGGCTTTGGTATTCCCCACACTAAATAATGCTTCCCTATATAAACTGACCTTGCATAGTGATACCTTTAACAAATTAGTTAATATTTCACCTTATTAATAACATTTTAATTAATGTAGAGCTGATATCACCTCCAGGGGCACTATAAACCAGGCTTTGCGCTCTGCTGGCATATAAGGTAGTTGGCATGGGGCATTCCTTCCTGCTCAGTGGGCCGGAAGCTCTCTTAGGTAGAACATACATACTGAAGCATTTTTTTACTCTAAAAGCTGCCCTAACTCAGGGTGAGGTGACCTGCATCAGTAATGCATCCTGGGATAAGTGCAACTGACTCATGAAGCGGACGTGCATGATAAGAAAAAGGACTGCTGCTATCCCAGCCGGAGGATGGTAACTCCATCTGCTCAAATGGGGCTGATCTTATCCTGTGAACAGCTCAGGGAAGCATCCTGGGAGAACTGATCTTCCCTTTGGCACAAAAGAAAGGAACAGGAACTCTTAATCACTAGACAGAGTTTACCACTAAGATGATACAAGTTCCGGTTCACACAGAACCACAGCCACTGAACAATATGAAAAACCTCAGTAAGCCCAGGAAATATTAACCATATCAATAGCTAATCATTAGCAACTGAGTATTTTATCATCCATGGTCCCAAGTTAAGCATGTACTTGTGGCCACTCCTTAATCACCAATGATGTAGGAACATTACCATTTTCATTTTGCAGTGGAGAAAGAGGAGGGTTAAAGTGGATAACTATGTTGCCGGTGAAAGGAAGAGTGAGAATTTAAGTGCGCCTGATCAAATTCACCAAGAATTTTCTGACTTCAGAAAAGGCTTTCTAAAAAAATTTTAGGTTGGGGGCATATTCCAAAATATTTCGTAGAATAATTTCCTTTAAAAAAAATCACAATAGTCCCCCATCCTGTAGGCCTTACTTACTACATGGCAAACTAACAACCATATGACCCCACATGGCTAAAATGGATAAGATAGCACTGCTTGAACTTAAAGACTATCCTTTCAAACACTGGAGCAGTGGGAGCACGGGTGATTCACATAGACCTCCCTGATCCTCCACTTCCTCAACTACAAAATGGACCACTGAATGAGCCCATGGTCACAGCTTGGCCATGTCATCATGCCCTAGGACCCCAGTTTCTTTGTCAGGCATGGCCCAAGGAACTCATGCAAGGTGTTCACCTTTCCTTCAGAACCCCGGAAACCGCACCTGCTGGATGAATCACCTGGCCATCTCACCTAGTGCAATGCTGACATGTGATGAAAATATTTAAGTCAATCTAAACTGTCACTCACTAACTGTCTCTAAATGTTATTAACTGGCCTGGCTCCCACATCACAGGTTTAACAGTTGGATTCTAGAAACAAAATTTGTTTTAAAGTAAGCATGACATCATTAGTACTGAGCCTCTCCTGAAATAAAGACAGACTGCTTTAAACTTAAGTAATGACTATTAATTTCCTGTTTATTTCACTGGAGTTTGAATTGCAAAAGGCAACATTTTTTCAGTCTCTGTGTACATTTAAAATATAATATAACGGTAACAATTAAAAATGTTTCTTTTTATACAATGAGTTTTCTTTTTTATTCATGCTAACAGGAAATATACAACTATGCTCAGTATTTTAGGTCCTATTTCTCATTCCTGCTAAAATTTACATTTCTTGATGAGTGCTTCTTGGCCTATAAACAGTGCTATTATAAAAACAAACAGGCAGCTTCTCTGGAAAAATGTGGCTGAGGAGGAATATGGAACTAGAACTCACTGGTCTGAAACACAGAGTAAGCTGATTATTAGATTCCCCCACAGGAAAGAAGTGCCCTGAGGCCACGTGGATCTGCATTATTTTGGGTCTGCAATGCCCAGAAACAACCCTGACCCACAGCATGTTTCCATAAACATGTGCAGAATATGAATATGTTGGTCAAGTTTTTAACAAGAGCCCTTAATTTCTCATTGCTTTTTTACCCCCTGGCAATAGAATGAGGATAGTAGAACATGTTTCCCGGGTTTTCACAAGCATCAAGTAATAGAAAATTTGTGAATACACTTATGAAAAATAAAGCACTGTATTAGGATTGACCTTCTCTGCAGTATCCAGCACAGGATCTGGTACATAGGATTGTCTGACTTTTGGCTGATAAAACACATTTTTACTCCCTTTGAACTCTTGCATATCTGATGGTTAATATATATTTTCTAGAAATTTCATTTTCACATTTAAAATACTTCTTTCAGTCCCACACCTGTTTCTCTTTGTAGTTTTTGGAAGTCCTTCCACAGCCCAGTTCTCCTTGATGAGCCCCAAAACCAAAGTGGGGTCTACCTCCACAGGCTTTTAGAGCCTCCAAGGTCACTGGGGTCTCCCCAGTGACACTTGAAGTGTGCTTGCATGGTACTTCCCTTTGGAGGGACAATAAACGGAAGGAGACACTGAGCTGTACAACCGATCCGGCATTTCAATGAAGTAGGTACTAAAATATGCTTGGTATAATGATAAGTACTGGTTTGAGTTTTTGTTCTTTCCCACTCTAGATTTTCACAGTGCCTAATTGCTAAATTTCTTTCAACTTTAGGATTAAGGCAAGTCCTCCTCCACTAGTGGGTTAATAATTTTATTTGTCTGGAGCTGATGTTTCACTCTCAGAGATCCCATCTAGCACTTCCCACCCTGACCTATTGTATAGCAACAGAAACTTTTCCAAGGAGTAATTCCCTGCTGCTTTTATGTCTATTTCCTGAGCTTTGCTTAAAGATCTCTTAATTGTTGCAGAACACTTGCCTGTGTCTAATATCATGGCAGCTGGGACAAAGATATTCAAGATGAAATTTGTGATATTCTTGCAAATGAATCCAGAAAAAGAATTCCATGAGGCCAGGCCTGAGGCAGAGGGGAGGGCAATGTCAAATGAAATCTCCAGGTCTTAGGTCCTCTGAGCTACCCCATCACAATGCCTCTTTATTTCAACACATTTCACCATTTTGCCACCTATGGACTCAACAACGTGATCTGGACATTAAGATGAAGAGATTAGGATTTGGTTACTGAAATAAAAACCACCATCAAAGAACCATCCACCGATGACTCTGGGCACCCAAAGATGCTGAGAGGAGGGACACTGAGGAAGGACACAGTTTTTCAGAGTCCTCTGGGCTTTCAGGACAAATCCTATCAAAGCTAGGGCTGCGGGGATATTGCATCAGGCGATTTGCTTCCACCGCCCTGAGCCTTTTTGCTGCGCCCCCCAACCCCGGCAATTCTACGCTGCTTTCAAATACTCTCACCATCTACACTATGAGGTAGTGCTTGCCTACCTCTGGGCAGGGTTAAAATAAACCAGATCCACGCAGCCGCTGGCAGGGCGACTCCCGAGGTGCCCTCCAATCGCCCCCACACCATACGGGAGCCCGGGTGCACTAATCGACTCCTTCCTCCCTCGGGTGGGAGAGACCCCCTGATTTTGTGCGGACAGGAGCACTGGCCAGAAGTCTACTGGGGTAGAATTTAGCCCCTGCCAAAGACTCAGGTCGGTCAATTATTATGAGGTCCCAACAACAACGTTTGGTGCTGTTTTTATTCGTTTTCAGGAAAACTGGGCCGGCTTTCAAGTAAGTTTACGTCCCCGGCCTGGGCATGGGGTGGCCGCCCTCGGACAACCGGTAGGGTAGAGTCCTGCACACGCCCACTCCGCGAGCGGGGACCGGGACCTGCGCGCCCCCAGGCGAAGCCGTTACCTCGAGCCGGCTCAGGCTGGAGCTCTTGGAGCGCGACTTCTTGCGCAGGTACACGGAGAAGAACCTGCGCACCGTGAACTTCTTCATGCCCAGGTCCATCGCCCCGCGCCCAGCCGCGAGCAGCCGTAGGGCCGGCGGGCGCGCATTCCCGGCGCATCCCAGGCGCGGGAGTGTTGCGCAGGCGGGCGCGCGGCCGGGAGCCCGGCGCGGCGGTGCGGGTCGAGGACTCAGGCAGCGGGCACAAAGGGCAGGCCGCGCCGGCCACTGCGGCCGGGCCCAGGGATCACTCCCGCGGCGCCTCCGCCTCCCGCCCGAGGACTAGCTCAGACAGCGCGCCCCGCCCCTGGGCCCGCCCAGGCCCCGCCCCTGCCCCGCCGCCAACCAACGCCCACCACCACGCCACGCCCACTCCAAGTCCGCCTATCAGCGCCCGGCGCCCGCTCCCCCAGGGGCTCTTTCTCCTTCCTTCTACCCCTTGAGAGTACCAGTTTCTGGCAGCCCCACCCCGCCCCGCCCATCGCCAATCAGCTCCTGTCGCCCCGCCCATAGGCGCCCCGCCTCCGCCACTGCCTCCAATCAGTGCCTGCCGATCACTGCCCCGGGCGTTCACCCCCCCACTCCTACTACTCCTTCCTTCAGGGTACCTGCTCGGCGTAGCACTGCCCCCACGCTGCCCCGCCCATCACCCGCCGCCAGTCAGCGAGCGCAGCTGTCGCATGCCTAATAAGCCCTACCAGGACCGCTCCCAGCTCTGCCTGTGGTGGGGATGCCCAGAAGCTGCTCTGGGAGCTGGCTCATCTGCTCCTGGTATTTCTGGGCCTTTTCTACCGTAGGTTGTCATTATGTTTTCTTTCCTTAAAACATCCATGTTCGCATTTTAGCACCACAGCATCAACATTTTTCCGCTGAACAAACTTTAAAGGATAATAAGCAAGCTCTCTAGAAAAGGCCATCACAAACGGTGCGCTGTCCATCTCTCCTCCCGGCCCTACTGGTCCCTGACAGCCGGGAGTCCCGGGTTGGGCTGAGGTGAGGATGAGGGTTCCTCTCCTGCTCCTCAGAATCAGTCTCCCTCCTCCTGCTTGTGGCCAAACCGATGCCTCACGTGGCGGCGGGAGGGGGCAGGACAGCCCGCTGGGGAAAGCTCCCTTTGCAGCAGCTGGAGAACAAAGACACATCCGCTCTCCATGACCTCTGGCTCCATATATAGAAAATTATCCAAACAGATGACTTATCAGGCCCTGCACAGGAATATCCTGAGACACAATGACCTAGGTCTGCGGGTGAGAGCTCTTTCGGGACGGCACGGGTTTGACTTAAAGGAACTTCCCGCCCCCCACCCCCGCCAAAAAACCCATGCTCATCATAGGGCCACAGGCAGACTCCGGGCAGCCTGCTCTGTTTTCCTCTCTTGCAAAATCCACTCATTAAGCTTATGTTTTAAAAGAGATGGAAAATAAAACGCACTGATATACTACTACAACCCCCCGAAAAAACCAAAAACATTTGTGTGGTATTGAGTTTACAAGAATCGGTCTTTTGCAATGCAAATTGCAAAAAACAAAAACAAAACATACAAACAAAAAACCCTGCGTGGGGCTGGGGATATAGCTCAGTGGCACAGTGCCTGTCTGGAAAGCACGAGGTCCTAAGTTCCATTACCAGTACAAAAAAACCCCCAAAACAAAACAAAACAAAACAAAAACAGCTCTGCATGTGCTTTTATTCCCTGTGCTGAGTAAATGTTTCATTAATGCTTGCAGTAGGCTACCTTTTGCCACAGTGGATAAAGAGATTGTGATTTCTCCAAATAAGAACTTGTAAGCACATGCTGCACCCAGGTGAAGGTGAAGTCAGACACACTTTCAGGATTCAGCGAAGACCTCCGTTTTTATGGTGCTCCCTGACTGCATAGTGGATAATAGTGAGTACTTAGCATTAGGACTTTGCCTCTACCTTCTTTGGTGACCTTGGGCACACTTGCATGCTGTGTTCCCACTGCTCCTCTCTAAAATGAAAATATGAATAAAATCCACCACACCCTTCATCTCTGCATGAATAAAATCTATCCACCCTTCCTGGGTTACAACGAGGCTTGTGCAAAATAATGGATGCCATTGGTACTTGGCAAACTGAGTAAGTGATTTTCATACAACATGGTGCTCTACATAAATATTTTTCTCCGAAGAACTACAGAGCCCCCACAAAGAAACCAAGCATTTCTTTTGCTCCATCGCAAGCCAGTTTGTCAGTGGGATGCCTATCAGAATTGATTTCTTGCTTCCCTGTGAGGTTCTGGTTGGAGTTTGGTTATTTACCCCCTGACAGTTATTACTCCCTTGGCCCCCCTTGGACTGCTTAGGCATCCTGGCTGTGAACAAATACTTAGACCATGTGGGCCACACAATGTTGCTGTTCTGGCACAAAAAGCAGCAGATGGAGCTAGGGCCGGTCACTGTCTTGAGGAATGAAGAAGGGACCAGCTCAGCCACGCTTCCCACGATGCAGGAGAACAGTGTACCAACTACTCCAACTCATAGGCATCCCACTCAACGCAGACACCTCAAGGCAGGAAGGTTTGCATTTTACTAGTGCAAGTATTGAATCTGGGTCCAATAGAATTAGAAAGGAAATGTCTTATGGGACATTCCTGATTCCTCCAAAGTTAAGTACAGTAAAATTCATTGCTAAAACAAGTCTGTTTACTTCTGTTGATGTCCCAGTAAGATATTTATGCAATGAAACCCTCCAGCTAACCAAGTCTGGAGTAGGTATCAGAGTCTACTTTAACCTGGGTCCAGATTATCTCTCCCAAATATGAGAAACTAATACATAAACTTAATAATAACACTTGTGCCCAGATGACAGGGTGAGAATAGACGGGAAAGAAGACAAACAGCCCAAGTGACCTTCAAGTATCCTGAGCTTTGCTCTGCTCTAAGCACAGTAATAGTGGAACTAAATTCCATGGCTCCTGCTCCTTCTAGGATAGTACCAGTTAGCTAGTGCACATTCAGTCACCCCAACAGGTGATGATTAAACACCTGCTAGCGCCTGGCACAGTGGGTGGCATCAAGGATACAAGAGAAGTTCACAGTGTCATGGAAGGGAAGGGAAGCAATAGACAAACATGGCACATTTTTTATGTAACATAAAAATATGTAAGAAAATGCTATGCAAACAGAAATAGGTGAGAAGCCAGTTTTATTTGGAGAAACTGAGGAGGTGGTGGCCCTTGGTCTGGACCCTGAGGGGAAGAAGGCATTCCTTGGGCAGGTAATAGGAGGCCCACCTCTCCACCCTAGACAGTACAGCTTATCAGCAAATTTGGCATGGTCTCTGCATTTTTAAAAGATGTCTTGGGGCTGGGGATTTAGCTCAGTGGCACAGTGCCTGCCTGGCAAGCACGAGGTCATGAGTTCGATTCCCAGTAAAAAAACTAAGAAAAAAAAAATAAAGATGTCTTGCTCTCTTGGGGCTGGGGATTTAGCTCAGTGGCACAGTGCCTGCCTGGCAAGCACGAGGTCATGAGTTCGATTCCCAGTAAAAAAAACTAAGAAAAAAAAAATAAAGATGTCTTGCTCTCTCGGGGCTGGGGATTTAGCTCAGTGGCACAGTGCCTGCCTGGCAAGCATGAGGTCATGAGTTCGATTCCCAGTAAAAAAAACTAAGAAAAAAAAAATAAAGATGTCTTGCTTTCAGGGCACCTGATGAGCAGGTGATACTATTTTCCTGATGGCCCAGGAGGTAGATCCAAGAGTTCCTAACTAGTTCACTTCTACCCAAATGTCTAGTCCTGTCATAACAGTCTTGCCTGTTATTGAGATTTCTAAACTTATAAAACTTGTTTATTCTCATAATTATTTCTAATATAATGCCAAATTACACTTTGTGTCAACTTTTATATGTCTCAAAAGTAAAGGAAAAAATTCTGTCTTCATTAGAACAAAGGTTTTGCATGTTTATGGGCCCACAGTGGCTAAATTCACCAGAGTTATGGGTCATAAATTGTGTTTTTCCAGAAGGCTCCTTGGTAACAGAGTTGTCCTGTCAGATACTCCAGAAATTACAGTGCCCAACTAATATGAGGCAGGCAGCCTCACCAGAACACTACAAACAACTTGTGTCTGGATTATGAATACATTTAACCAGGGTTCCTGCTGTATAGTCCCAGAATATACAGAAAGTCTCTCTTGGGTGATAAGATTCCAGGAGAGTGGGCCAGGATTAGGCCCACCTAACTAAACCCCTCTTCTCAGGGGTGTCTCTGAGTATTACTATGAGGCTTCCTGGAGGTGGGAATTCAGGAAGAATGGCAACAGGATATCAGTTGGGGGCACCTCCAGAGCAATAACATGTCAAAAATGGGCTTGAAACTCTCAGGGAAGGTTCTCATTTGCCTCTGGTTTCCCAGCTCATTCTTGGCTCCTCACCCACAGGAAGCAGATCTCAGGTCTCATTTCTATACCTGGTGTCTTAGTTGCTGGGTTTCAAGCTATAGAGATTGTCAAGATTTGGGCTCCATCAGCCTCCCTAGTCGAGTAGAACAATTCTGATTTCTACTAGTTTTAAATAGCCTATACCTGTGTACCACTCAATTTGGGTGAACAATGTGTTAGCTACAAGAGTCAGGACACATAAAGATGTTAATTCTGTTCTTGAAAACACAGAGTTTTAGTTATTCAGGGTGAGACACAACCAGGCCCTCATGCCTTCTGAGGGGTCTGGCAGAGCCTATCTACAGCCATGACTCCCAAATGGCAAGAAGGAAGGGATGAAAGTCTAGTGAAACCTTTTCCCTCTTGAGACAGAGTGAATGGTAAATGGCGACAGGAAGACAGATGAGAACAGCAGAGATACACGGAAAGGCAGTGTTTTAGTTATTTTTCTCACTGCTGAGATGAAATACCCAAAACACAAAGTTAAAAGAGAAAAGATTTACTTAGCACACAGATTGCAGAGGTTTCAGTCATAATCCACTGGCTCCAAGGGAGGGTGACTCATGGCAGAGGGGCAATCATTCATGGTGGTGGAAGACATCAAAAGCAACAGAGAGAGAGAGA